CCATAGCAAGTTGGGAAAACGCTAGAGTTATGTCGCCCTTTTGGAACTCATCAGACTAGTTTTCCTTATTCAGGTCCTGCGGACTTCGATCTCACCCGTGATCGTAGGAAAAAAGAACTCGGACCATTGAGCCACAAATAACACCAGCAGCCATGGCTGAGCATTAGTCGAGATATATACCGTCTCATCTTTCACAATTGTGAATCTAAGTCAAAGATGTCGCAGCCAGCTGTTGGGCTATAGTTAACCCAATTAAGTTAATGAAGTACAAAAGCTGTGGTTCGTGGGTCACCACAACCCCGAGCACAGAAATTTCTCGGATATGATTATTTACACGGGTCAGTGCTTGGTTGCAATTATTGTGTGTTCAAGCTGACCGGACCAAAATTTGTTAGCAATAGATGGGTCATCTTGTCCCCTGAAACTCCGTTTCAAGCTTGCCGCTACACCTCTCAGCCATCAACACCAGACGGCTGAAGCTTCGGCCTGGGGCCACTCCAAGTGTCACATTACCCATTTATTTCCATATCAGCCCGTGGTCGCTTGGAGGCTATCCTACGATTAGCATGGAAAACCCATCCTCTTGAAACGGAGAACGCTTGTTCATTCCCATGATGTAGTTGACTGATCATATTAACACTGAGATCTGACAAATGAAAAAACACAATTCTGACCGAACCCGCGCTGCCACACTGCTGCTTCGCATGTTACCGCCGTTCCCATCTATTTCTTTGCGAAAGTGCCTTTTTCGAGCGGGTAGCGCCCAACATCCAAATGACTTCCTGTTATAAGCCGTGTACATGGACCTACGGTGTGAGAAATAAGAGCAGTTTTCATCGAGGCATCTCAAAACAATTTGGCGATCGCCGTCTCTTCCTCTACAGGCTTATGAGATAAGCGAAAGGAGAACCAGCGAATGAGTACAATGAGAAAACAGGGTATGTCCAGCAGTATTGAAGCTGTATGAGATGAAAGAAAGACATTCAAGGGTTCAGCAGCTGTTCGCAAAGTCCAGATAAGTAGCAGACAATGGATGCACAACTATGGACTCCACAAGAAAACCCAAAAACAAAATTGAACCTCAGCCAACATAAAATCGATTGCTTGAGCATCAAATGTGTAAGTTACTTTGTCAAAACCGACAATTAGGTAACGTTACTAAGCTCAGTTTCGCTATCAACATGACAGTGCAGGCCAGTGAGCCAACCCCGATGAGCTGTTAAACTCCCTGATGCGCAATCAGCGGCCCCACATTCTCAACCCTTTGGAAGCCATTGTCCTCGATCGAGGGTGGTCACTGTTTTACGCACAGAAACAGCTGACTAGGAATCTGACTTACCGTGGTAGCGCGATACACGAAGATTGATCAAGGTTTGGTTAGTCATTGAACTCATGTGAACGCTGTTTTTTATCTATAACCACAAGATTGCGACTGACATGCTTGCACGAAATGACTGTTATCTCACAGTTTACGTCTTCTGCTTTTCTGTTTGAGACTATAGAGGGAATTTCCTTTTTCAGATGTGTGATCGTCTCACAATCGAACGCTTTTCTTATGACTCGTTTTATGGTTACAACTATGTGAGCAGATACGCAATTGACGAGTCTCTTTCTTCTTCACGTTATCTGTCCATATACTTCCACAAACGTGATTACTTATTACAGCATCTTGTTGCATCGATCTTCGTATATGATCCGAAGACGCATTAGCATGTGCTGCTCATACTAGGGTCGACAACGGAAAAATCTAAGTACTGATCTCACTCCCACTTCTTTACGATGTGGCAACTACCCCTGGACTACCCGAACAAATATCCCATAGGTAAGCGAGTTATCTGTTGAGCAAAGTTAACAAAGTACCACGACCATGGATGCACCTGAATGGTTTTTAGCTAGATGCAGCCACAACGCGATAATCATCATGCTAACTTTGAGAACGATCGCTGTGACCCATGCACCCTGACTATGGGCGTCTGGGGGTTCACCCATTCCTATGCACTGTTTCATTTGCCTCTGGATTCCTCATTGTTCAGGACTGAACATCATCCGTTCACTCTATATGGTATTATCCTGGTTGAGGATGCCATAGGCATACAAATTGCCTCCGGCTTTTATCCATACAACCACTTCATCTTGTGTTTCTGTGCTCAACTCGTGTCGACAACTTCGGCGTCGTTGTTGGCGATACCCACTTCGTTATTGGTTGTTTCCACTGAGTGATGACGGGCTAGTCTACACTCATACGGGAGAGTACACATTTGCAGTTTGTCACAGGTGGCCCAAATCCGCACTAATCGGAGAATAACAAATACTTTGATTGGTAATGCAGTGTATAACACTAAGGACCAGCTAATAAACGTTTATGCTGCCTATGCAATGCTTCTCAGCTTTTAGCTCGACTGAACTGGAGTGCAGCCACAGAAAATTGTGAAGTATCCAAAGTGGACCGCGTTTTATGAGCGTAATATGTGTGCTAGAAGATGCTGACTGTCAACACCTACTATGGCAGCACTGGTAAGTGGGGCAGGTGCGTAAATTGCCTACGTCAATAGTGGTGACCGCACCTCGGGACACGCACCCGGTGTCGTACTGTTCTGAATGCAGGATTGTCCGGCGGCGGCGTCGAGCAGCGTATGCCAGTGACACTAGAGGTAAGGTTTGATAACGGACTGACGCTCTTTCTGATTCTGTTGTCGAGTCAGTACCGTGATAGACTGCATCTTCCAAAATGTTTCAAGTGGATCGGTAGAGTTCGACATCATAGAACCGCTTCCCTCTTTGTTGATTGTGAATTATCACAGACGGATAGGAAAGCGCGCACTATGGAAGATGACTCAATAGGTGGCCTTCGCTGTCAACCAATACTATCTGATCGTCTGAATATCTTATGGATAGTTGTAGAGTGCTTATTAAATGCAACTTCATTGGCATACTGTTGGTAACCCAACATTAAGTATCCTATTGACTCTGTCTAGGAAATTTCATCGGATGGTCCAAACGGAAACGAGCCTTTTAATCAATAATCTGCTCTTCTTATCGATGCGAGGCACACTTGTATCGGCATCACCGGGTAAGTGCATATTCTTATAGAACGTTGGTCCCAGGTGGATCAGGAAACTTCGAATATCAGATCAGGTAATGACGATTGGAAGGACAGCGAAGACACTAAATTTTCGACTGAGTTGAAATTATTTTGGAGGACCTTTAACCATTCTTTCACATATAAAACAATGAAATCACAGGAGAGCGTATGATAGTAAAGCATGTACTGGGTCATATAAATTTTCTTTGTCATGTTCTGCACACGGATATAACCTTACGGAACGTAATGGACACAGAGGCAGTTGTGTGAATAACTTGTAACCCACGAGTCAACAGGTTGACGGCAAATGCATCGGCTAGCTCGCAGCAAGGCTTGTGACCTGTGTGACCTGAACTGAACGACGTGCTGTTCTGTTCCAAACAAAAAGGGTTGGTCAACCCTTAATACAGCTACCTAGATGGACTTGAACAACCTGCCCAGACTGGAAAGTAAGCTTGTGACGACAGGAACAGACAACGCTAAGGTCCGGAGCGCAGTATTATCCTCGTTCCGACTTCCGAATGGCCGCACTACATGGCAATGTCTAGGGATCACTTTGAGGTAGCAGTTAGTATGCAATGAGTTATTGGTTGCATCAGCTAATCCTACCCGCACTCAGCTAGACAGTCACCACTCTCAGTCCCACTAAGATCTAACTCTATCTGAAGACTCTAAATGGATATTTACTTGATCGTGCAGTGCAGCAACGAGAATATCTTCCGCGAGATGTGTTTTCCCATACTCTAGCAAGATGGATTCAAAGCTCTCTTAATCTTGCACGATCTTTCAGCTGTAATACACAAATAACAATGAGGAATAGTTATACCAGTCTAACCTAATGGACGACACACCGACCCATAGTGTGTTAGTGTAACTGGGCTTTCAGTAGTGACCGCTCGCGTGGCATTTATGTTGCTTTCTGTCTCTGGCTCAGTAAAGGCAAAAGTAGGGAACAACCTGAGTCGATATGTGCCTAACAGCGGTCCGATATTCTAGACATGCCGAATTAGTGGTACGGAGCTGCCCATTACAGTGGAATTAGCCCATGCTGGACTCAGATAGACAGCCGTCACCCACAGGAGATAGATGGAACAGGTCTCCAGTCCTTTGATCTTTATGAGGTACATGCAATTATGTGTGCCAGCATAGGATTCCCGTTAGTCTAATGTAGAATGGTGTGGTCCAAATAATCAAACTTATCATCCACACTGGAAATGTTTGATGAGGTTTGGATGAGATGGTATGCCATCCGAGTCCACTGTTCCTCCTCGTGTCAATACACACTACTAGACAAAAGAAAGGACTCGACTCATTCGTCACAATGCAGATAACTGCCGAAAAGGCAGAGAATCATTTGGCCTTACACCCGAAATCGCCACTCATTGTCTAGTTAGTCTGAATTTTAAATTGATTAACCAGTTTGGATAACTACACTAATAAACCAATCCCCTTTTGAGCATTTTAGTGCATCTTTATTGTGCATATGAATCGAGCCGTGCTGTATAAAAGATGATCAAGATAGGCCATTCTCTAATGTGTTTGTATGTCGAGGGTTACCAGTGTCAACCGTGAGACGGCAACAGTTTACTCGATCAACTCAGTTACAACCCGAAGTTTACTAACCCAGAATGAACAAATCACAAATCAAAAACAACCGTCTGCTAGTGATCACTGAATGACGGCACCTTACGGAATACGTGCTTCTAATGGAACCTGAAACTAGTTTTAACCAGTTGACGGGTTGCAAGTATGTGTGTTTGAATAGGTAAATATTTCATGTTTTTGTCTATGCATTGCTTCTCATTGTGCATTCCAAAGTAAAGGCCACAGTTTGATACAGTTGGCAGCGCTTCTGTTTTATTTTCAAGGTTCCGCGGAAGTAACGCGTTTTGTGCTTACTGTCTCTCCTCAATTCCAGGTCATACTGAAGTGCCCTGTATCCGGAAACCAGGTGGTGAAATCTTGGCTTTGGCGGGAGCCTATACTTCCTAACTCGGAGGACTTTTCCAAGTTACCACAAGGCAAACCACCGAGCCGAACAGTAACCGCAAAACACCCAGGTCGTCACGAGAGTGGCCACGTGGAGATTGGTCCGCAACTCGCCTGGGCACGTGTGCTAGATCCACTGTCACCCGAATCACCGGTCCTACTGTGGTGTCAGTTTGAACTACCTTCTGTGTGGGAAAATAAGGTTAGAAAATTAGCCGCAATTCACTTTTTCACATATCTTGCTGCCTGTTCATTGATGAATACAGATGTTCTCAGCTGGTGCTTTATGAGCAGAAAGCAACGATCATTTTCCGGCACGCTGAGCAAGAACACCGCCGGTTATTCAATTTAGAGACAACGTCAATATCTATGTGGCCCTTCCCAACATTCTAATCCTTGAGCCCAAAGCATACTAGTTTGTTTGCAAGTTGAGCTCGATATAGTATATTTACCTGCGATCGACGTCGGGTAAGACGTGTGTCTTTGCCCGGACGCCATATGAATGCCTACTTCATTGCGTAACCATCACCCAGAGACTTCTCTTAAACAGGCAACGTGATTTTAATTATTTAATTAATCACCTTTACTCTGCAACTTACTGTCTTCCTAGCTATTGGCTTTGTTCCAAACACACACGGACAGATGCGACTGAAACCAAGCTCATCCCTGCTGTTATAACGCTGCATGACCTCAACTGTCTCAGCCACACGGGATAGCTGGTTTGTGATTTAGTCACCGGCGCTAGACGCGATTCACATCGAAGTAGTCACGCTTCTGTCACTACCAGGACAGTCTGACGTGTCACCGGTGTGAGGGGCCACAAGACCAATGTCTTGAGTAGCGCAAAAAGCATATAAATTCCATTACACAGGTAAATGCCTACATATGTTAGTGTACCGCTCAGAATTTTGGACCAGTTAGAGGTAATGAGAACCTAGGTCTAGTCATCATAAGTCGGCGTGTTACCTTTCCAGGTTTCAGTATGGTTACTTGGGGCTGGGCCCACACCTTACCACTTTTCCTGTCGTTCTCAAACAAACGCAGGCACTACGATGGTGAGGCCAAAACCACACTGTAATGGCTACGCGGCATCACCGGTAATGCCGTCGTATAGAATGGCAACAGAACCAACACAGAATTAGAATTTCCTTCTCAAACTTAGGTCCGATCTGATTGGCAGAAGCGCACTGTACTGTCAGATCTACTGTAACTGTTGAGCTTCATGGGAGATTAGCTTAGTTAATTTCAACTAAGCTAGATTCATAGTTACCCACCCATCGATTGACGCTTCTTGTTTACAACCAGAAGCCGAGGACGGAATTGATTTCACAAATCAATCATTCGTTGTGCAACACTTCTCAGACAAAGTCGCAAAAGCAACTGTTGCTGCAGATACGTCCTTCTCTCCGCCCCCATGACCGTTCATGCAAAGATGAAAACGGATGCTGCAAATGTATTCCACATGGTAGGTACATTCATGGCTCTCACAATTAGTGGTATCATATCGCTTTTCTGCGTTAGAAGTCGCAACTGCCTCGTCAGCAGACATCCCTGAAGAAGTTGGCAGGCTTGCCTGAATATACTCCTTTCCACTAATGATCGCCGTCTCTGTAGTGACATGGAGGGTCAGTTTTGGTATCTTGAACGGCGAACGGTGATTTTCTCCCAAATAGGCTGGCACTCATGCATCCAGCAGATAACCTATTTTCAAGTGAATCTCAGCACCTCCAGACTGCAGAAGGTTGGATGGAAACGTATCTGAACCTATCTTCCCTAAACGAGATAATGCAATAGAGCAGTGTACAGAAATTACGACTAGACGAGAGAAAAATTCCTTACATTGCGTAAGGAAAGAGATTGAAATACCGTGAGTTGAATCGCTTGTCTATTTATTGACCTGCTCAATGAACTTGATGCTGTTGTGGACAAGGGACATCCTTGGTGCACAAATTATTTCATCATGGTTGATCACGATACGTTTATAACAAGACTGCCGTGCTTACGATCTGATCAGCTGGAACGCATGGTACGTGGTATTTTCCTGTGTAAACATTTATTCTGTAAATTACTCCACTACTTTGATTTGAAATTTACCTGTAATGTGGTTTGATCAAAGGTACTGAGTATGAAGAGTAAAGTGACCTGATACAAGTTTGCACTTTTTAAACCTTCTCGCTTTATTTATTGGGTAGGATGAAAGATGAGGGTATGAGGGTGGAAAGAGCAGTGAGGTAGAATAAGTAGGTAACACCTCCATGGAATCACAATCAGCACTGATTATGGCCACACGTACTGCCGTCGTATTCATAGAGACATGCTATCTGTGCATATAATGTCTTCCATTGTAATAAGATTTCGCATTCTGTCTGGTCTGACATCCTCACCATCTCGTATAAGACAGAAAAAAGAGAGATATTTAAAAATAAGTGATCTAAACCTACAGGCACAAATGGACCAGACGAATCATTTTCCCTGCGGTAATGTATCATGTTGTTCATGTGCGAGTAATACGGCTAACTAGCTGAAACACATTCAGTACGTCAGTGGGGATGTACTGGGATAATTAATTGCTGGAATGGGACAACCAACAGCGACATAACAACGGAAGAGTTAGAGTTGCGGATGATGACCCACTGTTAATTAGTTCATTGATGTTCACGGCAGTTTCTTTACGGTAATGAACAATAACATGGCAACTAGATTATACATGTAAAACTCATTCAGTAAAAACATTAGACTACTGGTTGAAAGGTATGATACTTGTAAAGCGATAACAATTTATATGTGGCTGGAACCTCTAACCGTGAGTTCCTCTATTGTGATCATATCGATATACAAGACAATAACGACTGCGTATCCGGCTTCATCATCGTAAGTATTTTACCTGCAAAACATGGTAACTGTGCCTGTGGCTAACACAATTCTGGGTCTTTTACGAAATTCCTACACCGAATTCTGACTTAGACTCTTCTGCTAGTTACTGACAACGGATTTCATGCTCTGAGATCTTACGACAAGAAGTACTTCTGTCTTAGCCTACTTCAATACCTGATAGTGAATTACGTAGATTCACTTTTAGCAAGCAGGACTTCCCTGTTCCCGGGATGTATTATAATTTGTAGGGCTTAGGGCGGATAAACACTGCGCAGCCTGAGCCTTCAAATATGTGCTGAGTGCAGTACTCGTTCTCTTGAAGCCCACTACAGTTTAACGCCGTGGAATAGCTTGTGACGCTTTTATTGAAGCCAAGCTAAAATGCTAACCGACCAGGCTCTGGGGTTATTGCTAAATAGATTTGACGGCTTACTAGCCATTGCCCGCTGAGCTAGTTTGCTTTCTCAAAGTAGTAGCGTTGCGAATGAGAGACAGCAAACGAACAAACTATCATTTCCTCAGAACAAGTACATGACAGATTGAAAGATAGTCATCTATGAGAAACGCCGGAATACACTTTCAGTTGACGTGAAAGATCCATACACCGCATCTTTTGTGAAGATCCATCGCTGCTGGAATCAACCAGACGGTCACCGCTCATCCAGGAAATAGCTTCGGAAACAAATAATAAATCCTCTTACTCCTCATTAACACAAAGCCACGTTACTTGGGTCTGCTTTCTTAGTGACAGAAAATCAGAAGTGAAATGAGCATCTGCTTTGATAACCGTTTGTTATGCCGTATCAGAAAGTTATGCTACTTTACAGACTGAATTATACAATGCCTACCTATTTACTCTATTAATCAGGAAACCAAGAGTATCGTTTAACTGTTACGTTGGCAAAGGAACAGAAATTTCCAGCTTTCTGGGCATGTAGTAGTTTTAAGGGAATGGTTGAGTACCCTCACAATATTGGTTGAAATATCCACAACTCTATGTGATTTAACGAGGCTGATTACAGTGCTTTAGGCCCATAACGGAAAAAGGGATTTAAAGGATAGTTATGGCTGATAATGGTGCTCCCCCGCTAAACTCATTGTCTTTGACTACTTTATTGATCAGTAGCGGGTGTACGAGTTCCATTCTAGCCATCTCCTCACTTTTACCGAAAAGTTTGAACTGACTGTTTCAGATGGCTTTCAAGATATAAAGCGACTTAATCTATGAAGCCATTGTTTGAGATGGAATCCATATGCTTCGTGATGCTGATGAAGTCACTAATTTTTGGTCACGCCGCGCATGGCTATGATTTCGTTCCATGAAACCCCTGAGCCCTGTAGCCGCCTTGATAATATCTCATGCAGCAGTCTCGTGTACGCTTATATGCATATTATAGTCTGCACAATTTAATTCTATTGACGGATGGCCTAAATTTGGATCTTTTTATCAGCTTCACAATATTAAGGTGTATAGAAGATATTGCTTCGAAAGCAATTTTCGAACCTCCAGTCGATACAACTTAAGGTGCATTTTTAATCTTTTAGTCAAAATTCGGGACAGTAGTACTATTCTCCTCAACTAGATGGGTACTGAGGCTGCAGCCAACCGATTTATACTTGTTCCCAGAGACATTATGCTACACCTTGACCGCTACGTACTAAAAGTTTGATGCGAATTCTAGGTTAAGTGTACTAAGTCACATAACTAGTGGCGTTTTCTGGCATGTCACGTATTTAGTTGATGCGGTCGTTATCTTCTACGATTCTCAGTTAGATTTCAAGCTTGTGACAGTTGGGTCGAGAAGCAATATTTTATTTCAGCGATGTCCATTAGGTCATCGTGCACGTCTGTTTGCAGACACTAACTGAGGCCAACCAATAATTGGGAACTAGTTGCTTCTGTGGCAGCCAGCTAGAAGAGTTGACCGTGTGGGACCGCGCATGCATAAGGGAAGTGGTGGACAACGGATTTTTCGGTAAGCTAGGTACCCACCACCTCTTCTGACTGAACGGTCTTCCCTAAATGAACACTATCCTGAGACTGATACATGTGCGTCTTATGTATAGTGATTGCAATGAATTTTAATTTTCCGAGACATGTTGTAGTCCGGGAACCGCAGGAAGGGTGTAATGTGTGCATCTTGTTTACCAGACGACTAATGTTGCACCTCCGCAACCAGATGTAAGAAAATTGGTGTACCCCTTATCAAGATGTTATGTTAGATGACAGTACGCCTCTTGCATGATAACAGAAAGTTTTCTACAGTCTAGCCAATGCTACAGATGATTAATCTGTAGGTCTGTCCATCCTAAACTTGGATATTAAGG